TAAAAACAGTTTAAGTTTTAAAATATTGTCGAAAGATGTAGGAACGTCATTGAACGTGATGTTTGCTTCACTGTTGCAGAATTAATAGAGTTACATGGTAAATGAAAGAATTTGAAAACAATGACATTCTTATTCAAGCTATATTTGTACAATTGTTCGCAAACTAGGTGTTAAGTGTCATGGATATGTTTTTTTGAATGGAGAAGACGCTACAAACCGTGTTTGAAATTAAGAAAATAAGTATAATTTTGCAAACTTTCTCAACGTTGTCTTTGATGTTACAATGTTGGTTAACCGTGCTCCGTGGAAACAAAACATGTTGGTTTAAATTTTGCTAACATGAGTTCTATTTAATCTAATGGAATGAAACTTCACACTTCGACAAAATAAATGTTTATTTTTACGAAAATGTGTTGATTTATAATCTTGTAATAATTATATGACGATGAGAAGCATTGTCTACGTATTTTTTGAATGACCCTCGTATAAATCCTTTGTATCTACATGTACTATACTTTGTAGTACTCCATATAAAAAGAAAATTTTTATTTATTTTGACATTTTAAGTTACCTCTGGGAACCAATCTATAAACTTTTGTCGTTCTTAAAAATAATGTACAATGTAGTATTATTCATCATACCAGGGAATATCAAAATTGGAGGAAAGAAGTCTAGCTATAGTTGTATTTGTATAATTGACTTTACATTGAAATTAGAAAAATTTAATCCTATAGTAAATGTACCTGTTGTTCGAGACGGTCCCTTAAAATACCTTGATGGTAGATTTTTCCTGAACTTGGCATTTACACGGAAGTCAATGGAACGTTCATAGGAGTCTTTTTATTGTAATTTTCACACTTTATAACCCCACTCGTCTACCTTAAATAAAGTTCGCACATAGGTCAGAAAAGTATAACTTATTGGTATATTCAAATAAAGACATTGAGCGTTCCTTGCATAAAAAGGATTGATTGATTGTATATTGTTTAACGTCCCTCTCGAGAATTTTTCACTCATATGGAGACGTCACAGTATGCCGGTGAAGGGCTTCAAATTTTGACCTTTACTCGGCACCCAGGTCCATTGAGCAGTGAGGGATCTTTATCGTGCCAGCGCCTGCCGCTGACATGGGGCCTCGGTTTTAAAGGTCTCATCCGAAGGACCCGCAACTTTCACTTCAAAGTGCCGAGTGCATGGCGAAAGAACAGTTGCTACCCATTTTATCGACTGGGTCAGTCGCGGCCGAGATACGAACTCACGACCTCCTAATCACGGAGCGAGCGCTCTATCGACTGAGCTACCGTGAACGGTGCATGATAAGGAATAAGACTAATAAATGAAAAGAAATAAGACTAATAAAATGACAATCATTGCTGTCATTGCAAATGTACGAATGATAACAAGAAAGTTGGATACTTACGGTAGCAATGAATTCAAATGTTCCTGCTATAGACTTAAACCAGACGCGGATCCAGAAATGTTTTCCAGGATTGGGGGTGTTCCACCCCAGTCTATTAAAAATCCAACCCAGAAATTTCTTGACAAGCCAAAAAAAAAAATCCTAAACTTCAACAAACGTCAAAAATTTATTTCGGGCTGTGGGTTGGAGTGGGGAGTGTGGGGAGGTATAGATATGAGTCGATGACTTCTATTGCCTCAAAAATCTTTCACTTTTCGTACCCATTTCACCAAATTCGCGTTTACAAGGAGGGACTGTTTTTTCCAAGGTAAAGTTTTTCTTCCTCTAATATATACATTTTATAACCTTGGACACCCGACCCCCCCCCCCCCCTCCCCCTTTCTACATCCGCGCATGAAAACAATCAAGAAATAGGAACGATAGTATTGTTCTCCCGCCTACCTCTACATAAGTCAATTTTCAAAAATTAACATTATCGAATGATTTTCAAAAATTTTATAGATATTTATATGAATTTTCATAAAACGTTACTTATTTGGGAAACCAAAGAGAGATAACTCTATAATTTTGGTAAAACTTGAGTTTTTCACTATAGAAATCAAAGGAAAACGGAAAATATTTTTAAAACATCCCCCCCGTGAAACACAATTCCTTTTTACAGGTAATGTGGACTGTCATTTAACAAATTTATGTCAAGCTTTTTGTGTTTCACGGGGGGGGGGGGGGGGGGGCATATGTTTATAGACAAAAAACGAAAAAAAATGCCGATTTTCACCAATTTTAAAGCTATTTACAACTAAATAATTGTATTTTATTAATTTATATATGTTTTATGTATTTACGTAAAACATAAGAAAAGATATGAGATACATTTATCATATTTAAGACTATTTCAAAATATGGTGATTCTTGAAAGTTCGATTTCACTAGAAAATATCGTCTACCCCCCTTTTTTCAAGAGCTGGAATTAATGATAATTTACTATGTAACGCTGGAATTAAAATGATTAATCAATTACCATAGAACTGTTCTTTGTATTAAAAAAAGATTTAATGGCCAAAATGCCATTAAAATTGAATTTAATGGGTGCAAAATGCAGGCGGGAATCAAGAGTTAGAGTTCGTAGTTCTTACGTCTGAATAATCTGCTAGGTACATATATATACTGGGGACTATAGACACACGAGATTAGGAATTTATCAACCTCGACCTTTTTACTTGTGCAATCAATAATGATCTGACCTGGATCTTCACTCCCATTTTAGAACCGATAACGCGTTGTTTAATCTCGATGTTTAATGGGACTTGATAACTTTTCACTCTCTTCTTTATATTGTATAAGAAATATATTATCTGATTGAAGTTTTCAAAGTCGATGAATTCATGTTTACTTTTAATCCACCTCAGCTGAAGGCTCATATTATCGTTACTGATCACATGTTGTTCTGCGTGCGTCTATTTGTCCACTTGTCTCATTGCACACTTAATTCAACTTCTTAAAAACAACTGGACCAATTCAACCAAGCTTGCAACGTATTTATAATTAAAAAGGATTTACGTTTGTTTGAATGAAGGATTATGCCTTATTCCAATGGGAGATAAATAACAACAAATAACATCAAAGAATTATGGCTCGCTCATTTGTATGACATATTGTGTCAAATATGAACATGCCCTATCCTATGTCATTTAGAAATTATAACCGAAGTTGAATTTTGAAAAAAAAAATAAAGTCAATCGTGAAGTCAAAGGTTCAGAAATCATAGCATGCTTCGACATATCTTATCACAGATACATGTAATGAATATGAAAGCCCTATCTCTTCTCAATCAAAATTTAAAGGAACAAGCTGGGTTTGTGAAACACTGACGACCCTTTAGACAACATAGCAATTAAAATTCTCTTAAATGCAAATTTAATATATTGGTACCCGAAGTACAGTGTTCTCACAAGAAATACGATTGCAATATTTGAAAGCCATAGGTAAAAATGAATGATATCTTTTAAAAACCCTGTTCTTAAAAACCACTGGTGTAGAAAAGGTGAAATATATAAGAGCATCGTCATTTGGCATGTTGGTGTAGATAAAAATTGGTTTAAACCATTACCCCATGAGGTCACAATATAATTTTTAAAAAAAGGAATGCATATTAAAAAATCTTTGATTTCTTCTTAAGAATAGCAAAGCTGTGATTGTTCATAACTTTATGAAAGCAAACTGAGGTAGTATAGAGTCAGTTTTTTTTTTCAATCATGGCCTCCGAGATAAGGATGGGCAACAATTTAAACAGTTTAAAGTCCAAGCTTTTTGATATCATTCACAGCTGTTTTTTAATCAAATGGAACTCCTAAATTTACTTACCTACTCATTGGTCATTTACAAAATTATTTTGTTAAAACACATTTTGATTGCACACAAAAGTACTCTGAAGTTGACAATATCTACGTGGTTTTTGGAGACCAGGCATTCCAACAATCTATTGGAATTCCCATGGGTACCAATGGCGATCCGTTATTAGCAAACCTATTTTTATATTCATATTAAGCAGAATTTGTGCAAAATCTTATGCGTGTAAAGAAGGAAACACTTGCAAACAAAGGAAGCATTCAAATCAAAAAGAAGGGAAGAATAAAAATCAGCCAACAAAGGAAGATAAAAATCAGCAAGCAGGGAAGCATAAAAATCAGAAATCAGAAAACAAAAGAAGCATAAAATCTGCAGGCAAAGGAGGTATACAAATGAGCTTCGATAATTTTACAAAGTTAGTTCCCTGTGTATATCCCTACAAAAGTGAAAGGACAGAAACAAAAAATCGTAATCTTTTTTCTTAGTTCACGAGGATTAACTCTATCAAAAATCATTGGATCATGATCAAATTTGAACTTGGCCTTTATTTTCTGGTGAATTACCTGCATGTGCAATTTAAAACACATTAATAACCAATATAATAATAATAATATAAGGATGGGGAATAATTTTTTTTATATTATTGTTTTTTAAGTTGAAAAGACATAACTCTTTAAAAATCATGTGACCAAGATAAATTTCAAATTTGACCTCTATATTTGATATAATACTTGCAATTTCAACCTCATACATGCATGTGTAAAAACTTTACAAGATACATTGAGGGTATGCCCTTGCAATAAATCGATTTATTGGGGCCCTTCTATCACTTTTTCAATGAATCTGCATACAAACACACGTCAATATCACTTGTCTGGAGAATGTACTGACAGTTTATAAATAAAATAATGTCAATTTATTTAATTGCAAATTATATTTTATTTGACAATAAAAGACGTTTTTCTTTGTACAAAATATAACTTGATCAGTCTCTCGCTGCGTACAAACTGCGTCATTTTTTGCGAGATGACGTCTCATTGACAAGAGCATTACGACCGATGCATCGTTTATATACCGTTGTGTGGGATTTAACAAACGACAAAACTGCATGAAATAGTAAGTTTTTATGAAGTATACAGCTATTTAGCTGTTTGAAATAGCAAATAATATCATTTTGTGGTATTTTGAAGATCTATACTATGTGTGAATTCATTGTAAACATTTCCCGTACAAACTATGCCCCGCCTCCTTTCTTTAACCTTAACTGTGCTGCGAATTTTGCTGGGATGTCAAACGGAAAGTCAATGACGACAGAATGCTGCAACCATTAGTACACGTAATACTACATCCCCTTTAATTTTCTATCGGCGGAAAAAACCTCGTAAAGTATATTTAAACTTGATTAATCAAATAAAGCATCCTTACCATGTCCAGGAAGTATAGATTGAAGCTTATTCAATTTAAGATTCATTCTAATTTTTAATAACTTTTAATTGCTAAGTTGATTTCTACTTTTTAATTGCAAAGATGTTAAGGTGACCGATGTAGCACATGGACCTCCTTTTTTCCTTTTACGACGTGTCTTCGGAATAAAGATATTTGTACACGGTGACAGGTCCATCGTATCCCCCTACTATTAGATTGCAGTGGTCAAAAAAACAGAGAGCAAGGATGTCATTTTGATATATACCTTGATCTTTTAAAATAGACAGGAACCGTCCATCCCTATCCAACAAATAAATGCCAGTTTCAGGACCATCACCATTTATGAAATGGCGAGTTGCATGAAATAGAAATTTTGTTACCGATCTAAAACCTCTCTGAAAAGTGCCTACCAAGATATTTCCAAGTATATCTGTACAGATTCCACTCGGTAAACTTGAATGAGAAATAAAACCAGCGTAATGGAATCGATAATCTCCAGATCTGGTCACTACCACCAACTTACAGGCTACGTAGTCTATTGTACAAACATCACCATTGATGTTCTCTGTGATGTTGCCTATGCTTGAGTATAGTTCTTTTCCATTATCGTGCCTCCGAATATCATGTAACTTCACCCCTTCGTTGCTATATCTGGTTATTTTCCATTTACTATCCTTTGTCATGCCGACAAGTATGTCACCGCTTTTAAGGGAGCAGTAGACAGACCATGGTTCCCAGTCTCCTGTTGTGATAAACAGATCATTCAGTGTTAGATCACTGTTCATTTTGTAAATGGCTTTCATGTTATAATCCGTGTAGAGTAGATCGTCGTCTTTAGTGACTGTGTGGAACCCACGGTCCTGTCCTCCGATGTTTAATTTCTTAAATATATTCCCTTTCAAGTCAAACTGAAAGAGATGTCCATAACTATCACTAGCCCAAAACTTTCCAGAAGATAATGGTGATAGATGCCGAACTCTATTCCTGAAAGATAAATCAACGCCCTGCAATTTCTTCAAAGAGAAGGGAATCTTCATACTTTGCTGTTGAGTTGGTTTAGATGTTACTGATGTCAGGGATTTTAGATTTATTTTGTCGTTCTCTTTTGGCATTTTACGTTCAGAAAGCGTACAGAAACTGATGGAACCAAAAAGCTTTTTTATTTCCTCTTTAATAATTCTACCCTTTTTAAACTCGGGTACTACAGGATCAATAATATCAGGAATCTGTACAAGAATATTTTCTTCATCGTCTTCGTTAAATGTGATAACTTCAGATGGTTTGCATGAAGATATATTGCTGATGTAGTCCTCCATCAGTTTATTCAACCATGTGATATGTTCTTCTGTTTTTTTCTCTTCTTTGGATATCTCATCAATAATTGATGATTCTATTCTGTCCAACTCGGCATTGCTGTCAGCCAGCATAGTGTCTACTGCTGTCTTTATCTCGTCGACGCTATGCTTCATAGACATTCTCAGACTTGAAATTTTAATCTTGAAATTTTCCACTTTTTCTCTTTGTAATTGTACCTTTTTTACACATTCAGGAAGGATGTTGTCTCGAATATTGATCAGCCTTTTCTTTGAATGTTGTAAACTTTTATTATAAACAACTTCAAGGTCAAGTACCTGATGACCATTGTGATCTGTGGTGAAGCATTTTGAACAAATAGGAATTGAACAATCAACACAGTAGAGCTCAAGGACCTTTGTCAGATGTATGAGGCATTTCTCTATTGGCAATTCTATACATCTGTCCTGAAAAGGGACTATTTCATGTTTACCATTATTTTTTTCACGAAGATGGATAGCTCTACATTGCTCACATACCCGCTGGTGACAGATGTTGCAGTAGAAGTGGGAATAGTTGTTACATGTCGAGCACTCAATGAAATGTTGCTCTGTGTCTCTTCTTTGACTCATTGTGGGATAATCGTGAACTAAAAAAGAAAACTTTTCTTGAAATTTTAGTCCGAATTACTCCTAACATACACATATACGTTCAAACTCAATATTAAACACTGAAAGTGTGTGTAAAAAGACTTCCTTGGTGCCTGATCTTACAGAGTTGCAATTTTATATAAAAAAAATTATAGTTATATATAAGTTAACTAATATAATTAACATTTCTGTGATCATCTATTAAGCGATATTGAGAGTTGAAATTTAAATACCGCAGTATGTATTTAGAACGATTGTCTGTGTCATACTGATGTGCGTGATCGACAGCACTTAGATTACAGCCTGAGAGATGAGAATGTACACACTTGTAATGATATTATCAATTAAATATTCAGCATTAATACTAAATTCTGAATGTTTTTAGCTGAGGACTCAAATATATTAAAATACCCCACCTCATGTAAAATAAGCCTCTCATATACATTTTATCAGAAGTTTTAATCAATTTCAAATCACTAATTGTAAACTTGCCGCCATCTTTTTGTAAAATTAAATAAAATTAAAAACTGTTTTAAACATGTATAACACACGTAACATGAGGATTCAATTAAATTAATTAAATGAATTAAGAAATTGCAACAATTAAGTCCTTCAAGCATTATGAATAAGGTTCAAATATGTTCAATCCCATAGATCATCTTTCTAGTGATAGTGATAAATTAAATATAAAAATACCAATAATTTGATGAAAAATCAAACCTTTCTACTCTCTACTCACTAGATGACAGCTATCTCCATCAGAATTAAACTTTATGCTATTATTGCTAACTTGTCCGACATTTTAATGTCTAATAAATCATTATGAAATGCCTGTTTTATCATTGTTTATTGATGTCACATGCCCTTCGATTCAGATAAGACGCACTTAAATTATTTAAACAGATTTGTGAACATGAAAAATAGGTCGCTAGGAACACGCAATGTGTATATGAAAGATATGGAGATAACAAACAGTATTCAAACTCAAATTCAGTAAAACAATACTGAATAGGAGCAAAGCAAACACGGACCTCCTAAACATCAGAGGTGGGATCAGGTGCTACGGAGGAGTAAGCATCTCCTGCCGACCTGTCCCATCTGCCGTGTGTTCATCGTCATGATCAGGAAATAACGGAAAATCCATCTTTAATTCAGTGTTTAAAAAAATGGATAATTTTGTTAAACAGCAAATAAATAAATCGAGACGCACGTGTTTCATTCTATTGATTAGAAATAGTCCACTTTAGTTAAAGAAAATCCACTGTATTTTATTCTGCGGAAGTGTACTGAAAATGTTCTTAATCCAATTAATTGTTTTATCCAATTAATTATTTGTCATGTGATCGAAAAAATTAAAAGACAAATAACGAATCACTTTGATTATTGCTGCTCGAACTTTTTCCCACAACCTTGGGCTGACGATGAAAAAAATGTTTAACGGTGTGTACTTTTGTTTATGGTATATATACAGAACAAATTATCCTTAATTAAGAAAATTAAACACTGATAACAAAATGCAATATGTAAATTCTAGAACAAAACAGGTAATTTTTCTGTAGATATTTAATAACATTTAGAAGTCGATGTCATTTAAATTTCATTTTTTTCAGCGCAATATTTCCTCCAATCAAAGGTTTAAGTACACTAAATTATACTGCAACACCTGTTACAAGCGAATGTGTCTTCAGGACAAGGAAGATAGAAAACACGAAATACTCCATTTCCGAGATAAACTAAAAGAATTGCCAACAGAGAAATGTCCCATCCACCCAACAAAAGATTTAGAACTTTACTGTGTTCATTGTTCCGCTCCCATTTGTTCAAAATGTTTTACCACAATTTACAACGATGACCAGGTCACTGACCTTGAGATTTTTATAATGAGAGTCTAAAACAGTGCAAGGAAAAGCTGATCAGCATCATCCTCCCTAAATGTCTAGAAAACTTAAAATCCCCGAAAGAAGTAGAAAATGTCAAGAAGGAAATTGCAGAACTTAAATTATCTATAAAGCAGAGGGCTGATAAGATTAAGGAACTAGTGGAAGCTACATATATAATGCTTATTAACAACACAAAGTTGGACATAATGGAAGCTTCAAGTCTAGATGAGATGTCTGAGCAGAGAATTGGTCAGAAGACTATATCTCATATCAAAACAAAAAGATTGAGTAGTATACGAATGGTGTATTATCACAAAAACCAAGTGAGGTTATACGATTGAATAAAGATAAAACAAACAAAATCTGGCGAAATTTCCTGAATCAGTTTATCCTACAATGCCATTGTTTTCAAAGGGAAAAATTATAAACGTAGAAGTCGAAAAGATTTTTTAAGAATCCCTCCTGTCCAAAAAGAAAAATATTAAAAGAAGATGAAGAACGTCAAGAACAACCAGAGTCCTTTAAATCAACGAACTCCAGACCAACTCAACAGAATAGTATGAAATCCAATCGAGATGAAAAAGAAAAGATGCTGAAAGAAAAAGATAAAGAACTTCAGGAATCCCTCAAAACATATAAGTCCGAGGTTATTCAACATTCATATATGAAGCTTTCTACCTCTGTAGTCAAAGTACACGAAGCAAACCTGCCTGGTCTTACTGCAACTTTTCGTTTATCTCCAGTATCATCTGGTACTTTTTGGGCCAGTGGGGATGATAGAAATCTCATCCAGTTTGACTTGAAAGGAAATAAGCTAAATAAAATACCAGCTAGTGGACAGGTAGATGGATTTCATACGATCACTACAGCGGAAGAGCTCCTCTACACAGATTATGAAAAGAAATCCATCTACAGAGTGGATACTGATATGACAACTGAAGCGTTTTTTGACACAGGGGAATGGAGGCCATGGTCTATCTTCGCCTCTCATTATAATGGAGACATACTTGTGGGAATGAAGAAAAATAAAGAATGGAAAATAACTAGATACAACAGGGAAGGGATGAGCTTTCATGACATACAGAAAAAAGATAACGGAGAAGAACTATATTCAGACGTAAGCTACATGACAGAGAAAATCAATGGAGACATTTGTACATCAGATATTATTGCCCGTGAAATGGTAGTGGTGAATAGATCTTGAGAATATAGGTTCTCTTACTCTGGTCCAGATCAAGATAATTCCCAATTTTATCCAGCTGGAATCTGCACTGATGTCCTTGGAAATATCTTGGTGTGCTGCGGCAGCCGAGAGAAAAGTGGATTTAATGTAATGATTTCTATCTTTAAAAGAGATACTAATAATAATGGTATTCACTTGCTCAATTGTGCCGGTCAGTTCCTGACTCTTCTTCTCAGACATCTGCCTTCAGATAGCCTCCGTGCTCTTTGTGTTAATGATGAACACAATCTCATGGTGGGAAGTGCGCACAGTCCTACCGTCACAGTGTACAAATACCTCCAGAGTAAAAGCAACGCGTGAAAATAATTATAACTCTCTTCATCTCACCCTCTCCCCCTCCTCTCTCTCTCCTGTGTGTGAGGGTGTGTGAGGTACGGGTTCTTGTTTCGGTGATAATTTTTAACCCATAGTATAGTAATACCACAAGGTATCTAACTCCGAATTACACGCAGTACCCCTTCCTCCGAAACGCGCTCATTTACACGTTCAGAGGAAATGCACTGGCAAAATGTGTATTACCATTATTTTCGACGATAAATTGTAAATCTACACAACCATATATGCCATGCATGTCTTTGTTTTCGTTTATCTCCATAAACAGCTTCAAAACTCTGCTAGCCGAGTGGAGAAGTCGATTCTACCATGAAATGGTATATGCTGATCAGCGATTTTCATTTGATTTTGATTGTCTAAAAGTCTGTTTCTAAAATTACATCAGATAAACATCGTAATATTTTCAGGGTAAATCAGACATAAACAAGTTCTATTTACCCACTGCAATAACACTGAAATTGAATTTTTAAATCCACTCTTTTATTTTAATTTTGCTCTTTGCCCCAGTCTGATTAAAACCAGTCCCTTCTCCTTTCACTCGTCAGGCCCACCTTCTCCTTTCGCTCGTCATTGGTGCCAGACGAGTGAAAGGAGAAGGCGGCTGGTTTTAATAAGACTGTCTTTGTTCGAGATTATAGCACATACCGTTTTATGATTAATATCGACTTTTCCACCCTGTTAGCAGAATTTTGACGCTGTTTACGTAGTCTAAAGAAAATAAAGACAAGCATGGCATATATGGTTGTGTAGATATAGTATCGAAGAAGACATAGGTATAAATAGTAGTTTGTAAGTGTTTTTCCTCTGAAAGTATAAATAAATGAATAAATGCGATTCCGTGGGAGGGGGGTAATCCGTGTCATTCGGAGTTATATACCTTGTGTTATTATTATACTACGTGTTAAAAAATTAGTACTGAAACAAGTGCCTGTGGTATGAGGGTGTAGAGAATGTGTGTGAGAGTGTGTGTGTGTGTGTGTGTGAGGGTATGAGGGTGTGTGTGTGTGAGAGGGTGTGTGTGTATGTGTATATGTGTGAGGGTGTGTGTGTGTAACATAAAGAATAAGGGCAAAACCAGCTGTAAAACGTTTGAAGTGTTACGTAAAATAAGAACAATTGACTTTATAAAGGTGAACCAAATAATACAATGACGCAATCATGAATGTCGAAAAAAGAAGGAAAAGTTTTTTTTTAAAATTTGGTATTTAAAATACAAATTATATAACTGAAATCAATAAATTTATAAACTGTCAAAAGTTGTTTTAAAGAAAATATTCAATTTTGTGTATTCTCCCAGTCCCACTTACGAAACCAAGACTTTTTGCAATACCGTAAATCTGTAAATATTTTAGTCGATTCATTTTTGCGAAATTAGGGGAAAAACCGTTGATAAATTTTTACGCTTCAAAATATTGCGAATTCTTTTTTCCGCTAAACAAAAGCACTTCAGATTTTCATATCAGTTTATGTTTTATATAAGTTATCAAAGTCAGAACAATATACTTACAACGTGACAAAAATTGCAGAATCACTCCGAAACAAATGTCTTCCCAATCAATCATAACGCAAGAATAATGCAAAAACAAGTTTGGCTTTCCGAATGATTATTGTAGAGATAAGATAGGAATTTGACAGAGATTTCTGTTCAAAAACGTGTATAATGACATCAATGAACTCTAAAGTCTAACAATTTTGCTTCTGTAATGTATAAAAAAACATGATCAATTATTCTACCACGATTATTGTAAACATCAAAGGAAACCGCCTGACATTATTCTCCAATATATCACGAACGTCATCAAAAAATTATCAGATCAGAAACACGTATCAAATCTTAACATTTTAAATGCATGTTTGGCTGTAGAATGTAATACTTGTTTAGACCGCATCGATGTGTATATCGTCTTTTGCAGTATAAACACTGTAAGTTGCTGATGAATGTCGATTTTTATAGCTAAGCGGGGCTATTCCACGGACCTCCCTACACATTAAACAAAGTGATTTTAGCAGTATAACCAGGAACATGATTTTGTTATTGTATATTCTTTTTAACTGATCAATACATATTACGAACATATATTTGTAATTTAAAAAGGCTATCTTTAATGTAATGAAAGCTCAAATGGTCTGCATTCTATGTATAGGTAAGCAAACAAATTTTACCTCTGGTGTTAAATGAAACAGCGTAATCGAGACATGGTGACCTAATTCGTTTCTCTATAGAGGAAATGATTATCCCTAATTTTGTGTACCATACTTGGTAGAATATAAATAAAGTCCGCGTTTTCGTGAATGTTGCAGAATATCCTCCGAGGTCGAGAAATGTTGTTTGAAAGATAAAAGCCGAGGCTTACTCGTTATCTTCCTGCTTCATTTAAGAAAATATCGATGAATATTTATAATTCTACAAGACCCAAAAAGAAAAGAAAGAGACCAAATATCAAAACAGTCCGTACGTTTATTATAAATTTGTTTATTCTACAGGAATGAATTTATATCCAATGAATATTTTCTGGTTTAATTTTTATAAAAAGCCCATTGCCGTTATTCAGTGCATGGACAACAATAAGCATATCACATGTACACATTTTTGATGAGTAGCTATTCCATCAATAAAAAGTACGAACGTATCAATAATACAATAATTAATCCTTTTAATAATAATTTATTTGATTATTTAAAGATTTATAACAAAAATATACAATGTCTTTCTTTGGTTGTTACATGTAGTACTCGGATGAACGTCGCAGCTACTAGGATTTTTTTTTACATAACATGCTTATTTTTCTGCAACAGCTGCGACATCTATTTTCGTACTGACAACCAAAGAAAGCATTTTATTGTTTGATTTTTGCTTACATCCATTAAAATTTAATATTTTTAAATTTTTGATTTTTTTTTTAAATTTTACTCTTGATGCAGGCAGTCCATGTGTTCACAACACATTAGTAAAGTAGAAACTATTTTATTTCAAACAAACATTCACAAATACATTTTATTAATCTAAAAATACACATCTAAAATTTTGAATTAGTTCGTTGTTGGGTTGTTTTGGATGAATAGCGTCGTAAAGCAATTTGGAACTTACAAAAAAAATTGTAAATTACATGAATTTGAACATTTATATATAGTATATACTAATTTAATTTGTGTTTAGCCTATCATTACATTGACAAAACACTTCGCATTTTAATAACTGCACACTGCATTTAATTAAAAAAAAACCTCACTTATTTTACTGTATTTAACTGCAAATACCTTTAAGAATTCTACTGCAAACTTAATTAAACTGTAAATACTCAAACATTGCACTGCATTGCTGTAACTACTCCAGAAAATACACCAAAATTTTATACTATAAAACTTACTTTACAGCATACATTTTAGGTACATGTACAAATATTATTACTCAATAAAATTATATACTGGGAGGCTGCATATATTACTTCTCCATACTATAATATACTTAATGCTCTTAAACAATAGGAATAATACTTATCTCCATTCATATGTCAATACGATATATACCGGTGAGCTTGAGATAAAAGTAACCACAGAGTCTAGTGCATCTTTTTTATGTTACGTAATTTCCTTGAAAAAGATGTTAATGGTAAACAAGCTCTGCGACAAATGCGGTAACCAATTCAATTGTCAACTTCTCTAGGACAGTTATGCAGCAATGCCTAAATCACCTAAATACGGGGTTTATATTTCAAAATTGATTCGATACACAGAAACATGTTCTATGTATAAACAATTTTTGAAACGAGGAAAGTTGACAAAAACAAAATGCTAAAATAAAAATCTTAGCTGTCTTTTTTAAAGTCATTTTTTTCAGTGTAAGTCTTTTTGATTTTTACGTTATTTTCCGATCATGTCAAAGAGCACACTGGGTGTGACCGGTTGGCAGGAGATGCTCACTCCTCCACTGCACCTGATCCCATCTCTGTTGATTTAGGGATCCATGTTTCGCTCTCGTCCATATTGGCCAATAACTTAGCATAAAGTCTATTTTTTACCTTTTAATCATAAAAAATAAAATTTATAAATCTCATATACAATGTATAATTCAATTATTTATCTAATTTCAAGACTAAACACTCCGAACAATCTTTTCAGAACTTACATTTCAAACGAAGTTCTACAACACAATTGAGAAATGTATAAATACATATAATCTTATTAACAAAAAAGATACATTTCCCAGTTTTGCATGCTCAAAAATTTAAAATTCTTTTAAAAACATTAAAATGCAAATAGAATTCATCTTTGAAGACATTAAAATATGTACAGTTACAGCATGTTTTGTTGATAATTGTAAATACATGATCCTCCAAAAAATGAAGTTTTGGCATTTTTATTTTATCTATTTATAAATAAAATGTCGAATTGTACTTTTTTTAAAGTAAGATAAACTAAAGCTATTTCAGTGAAAAGCTAGTTGTCATTTGAATTAGAAAATGCTAGATTTTTATTTCAAACACCACAAAGGAAAAAAAAGTTCTATCAGAATACTGGTAATACATTTTCCACCTGAAAGTGTTATCCTGTCTACTACAATTCTGGTGTCCTTGAAACACTTCCTTAAAATCATTGCAGTGTGAGGAATAGTACTTTTTTCGAGATTT